TAAAAAAGGTGCAAAATACTTAGAGCCGTGTCTGGCTCTGCATAGGTGTAAGTATGCAGAAGTGTTAGCTGTCAAATATTTCAAATGCTTCATTTGCATCTTTGGCACAGGTGCTCTGCCCCCTAGGGCCCAGTCCTCTGATAATGATAATGTTTGCTTTTTACATTATCTCCCCTTCTAAGTTATTTGAGATATAAAATTTCCATTAATGTCATTGAAATTTGTATTCCAAACCACAGTATTCATTCACCTAATATTATAAATATCTTTGTTATTTAGAAAGATATTTGTGATCAGTACATTAAAAATACTTACAGTATGACTTTAAAAATTATCGAAAAAGATTTTTGGCAACAACATGAGGCACTTGAGAGTTTTGTCTTCCCAAAGTAAAATAATTCAGAGCATAATAATTTAAATAATAGAAGCAGATTTTGATGAGGAAACTTTTTCTAAGGGATAAAAGATAATTTGGGAAAAATATATTTGTCATACTTGGGACATAGGGTTACATAATTAATAATCCAGGAGTAGTGAAAACATATTTTGAGCATTTACAATGGTTTTATCATAATTGTCAGATTTCATTGTGGAACCAACATGATACCCTCACAGCTGCCAAATCCCTACCTTATTTGGAGCTTGTAGATATCGCTGAAAGTAGGGGAAAACTACCAGCGTTCAAACCATAACTTTCTGGCACAATTCCCCAGTACATATTTATGATGAAACAAATGGAAAAGAAGGCAATTCTAAAATATCTAAATACAATTTCACTAAAAAAGAAAAGGAATGTTTTTGAAGCATGTAAAAGTGTTAGTATGCATACTAGTATGAATATCAAACTAATTAAAATATATTACTTTACTTTTTTTGTTACAATTTTGGTAATTGACATACTAGCTTCCAGGAAAGGACTAGACAGCTGTCAAAAGCCCACTTTCTGGTCCATCATCTCTTCACCTGGGTGAGTTTTTGTATTCCTAATGAAGTCAACTCAATGAGTCTAACAGATGTCAGCACATTTATCAATTACTCCAGTTTTCTTTACTATAAACTTACTGCAACCTCTTTTGGGGTGCAGAGGCATAACATTAAATAAGCAGATTGGATAGATAGATAGATAGATAGATAGATAGATAGATAGATAGATAAAGTTTACAAAAAGAAAGATCTACCTGACTAGCTGTGAAATTCACTGGTGTTCTCAAAACCTCCAAGAGGTTTCTACAGGATATCTTGATTTATAATTCAACATCCAACAATATGGAAGATTTAATCATGTAACTCAATTTTCTTGATTGGCTTCTCAACGAAGTCAGAGCTAGAGAGGGGGAAAAATACAACAAATATGGTAATTCTTTCATAGACAGAAGTAGAACTTGAATAATATCTATAACCAACAATTCATTCCTAATTAGGTCATTATTAATGTTCATATTCTTTTCTATTTCACTTTTTAATTATAGTTGACATTCAATATTTTATATTATTTTCAGGTGGGTAACATTGGTTAGGCATCCATATAATTTACAAAGTAATCCCCCTGGTATTTCAAGTGCCCACCTGGCACCATACCTAGTTATTGTAATATCATTGACTATATTCCCTAGACGATCTTTATATGCCCGTGACTATTTTGTAACCACCAATTTGTACTTCTTAATTCCTTCACCCTTTTAACCCAACCCCCTAACCCTCTCCCCTCTGACAAGTATCAGTTTGTTCTTTGTAGTTATGAGTCTGTTTCCATTTAGTTTGTTCATTTTTGTTCTTTGGATTCTGCATATAAGCAAAATCATATGGTATTTGTCTTTCTGTATGTCTTATTTCAATTTTTTAATATATTTTATTGATTTTGTACAGAGAGGAAGGGAGAGAGATGGAGAGTCAGAAACATTGATGAGAGAGAGTCATCGATCAGCTGCCTCTTGTACACCTCCTACTGGGGATTTGCCCGCAACCAAGGTACATGCCCTTGACCGGAATCGAACCGGGGACCCTTCAGTCCCCAAGCAGACGCTCTATCCATTGAGCCAAACCGGTCTTGGCTCTTATTTCATTTTAATAGTCATTCTTGAACTCTGCTCATTTTTTGAGAGTAATATTTCTTTTGGATAGGAAAAAATAAAAATATCAGGAGAAACAGACTAAATTTTTTTTAAATGAAAGGATCACAATCATAAGTAGATAAAATGATAGATTATTGAACATCAGAGAATTTCACAGATCATTGTTCATGACTAGAAACTCAGCTTCATATAGCTAATGTGGCTTAGAGAGTACCATCATGTAATTTATCAATCAAACTGGGATATTTTTGAGAGTGAAAAAGGAATCATATTAATAATTCTGCTGGGCCCTGGCTGGTTTGGCTCAGTAGAGAGAGCATCAGCCTGTGGACTCAAGGGTCCTAGGTTTGATTCCAGTCAGGGGCATGTACCTTGGTTGCAGGCACATACCCAGTAGGGAGAGTGTAGGAGGCAGCTGTTCGATGTTTTTCTCTCATCAATGTTTCTAACTCTGTATCCCTCTTCCTTTCTCTCTGTAAAAAATAAATAAATAAATAAATAAATAAATAAATAAATAAATAAAAATATATTTAAAAAAAAAAAAAGTAATTCTGCTGGGAAAATCATCCATAAAATGGGACTATCTCCAACAAATCAGGATATGTGGTCAGTCTATCTTGAGTTATACAGATGGTACCTATATCAATACATTCTAAAATTATTTGTAAAAGGTGGCAATTTCAGACATTCTCTAATGCAGTAGAAAACTTCAAAGTGTAGCTGCCTGTTCATTTCTAGAATACAGTCCTTGGTGTTTTGGTTTATATCCTTTTGATGCTGCTATTTTTGTTTGGAGGGGAATGTGTTTTTATTTTACTTTTACTTCTTAGTTTCATTTTAGCCAATAAAATCTTATCATTCATTTGGAAATTCCATTCCAGAGCAAGGGCCAGATTTGTCAGGATTTTGGTCCCAGCACACAATGCAATGGCTCTCGATATAAATATTAGCACTATAAATCCTGAAGACAGTTCTTTTCATTGATTAATACCATGGCATCTGGAGTTAGGGTAGTTAGGATTTCTCCACTTTGAAAAAGTTATTTAACATAGCAGCCAGAGCAATATTTCCTTTTCTTTCTTTTTTTCTTTTTTTTCCCTTTCTTTTTCTTTCTTTCTTTCTTTTTTTTTTTTTTTTTTTAAGAAAATAGTCTGCCACTCATCAGTTAATAACCTTCAATGGTTTCCCTTTTTCTCTTAGAACCAACACCAGAAACCAACAAGACAAAGTCTTCTGGCCTGTGCCTGTAGCTCACCTCACCTCTAATGTGGCTCCCCTCACTCGCTACTTCAATCACCCTGGCTTCCTTTAGACCAGTCATTTCCTAAGTCTGAAGTTGTAACAAGGTGGATGGGGGGATGCTAATGTCATCTACTGGGTAGGGGTCAGGGGTGCTGCTAAACCTCCCACAGAGCACAGGGCTGCCCTCTACAACAAAGAATCAATTGGATCAAAATGCTAACAATATAGAGGTTACACCATCTTTAATCCCAGGTCTTGCACTGCCTGAAAGATTCATGCTCTTCTCTTCCCCTCCTTTTTCCTTCTCTTTTCCCGTTTTTCCCCTCTTCCCTCATTAACTCCTGGTGACTATTTTGATCACTTTTCTCACAGTGGATTTTCAGATTCTTATTCCCAGATGAATGCTGCACCCTTTCCAGGAAGTATGAAGCACGTAAGAATATCAGTAACAATTTCACATGTATGTGTTTGTATGTGTTTGATGATTCCCCCCTCTCACCAACTCCAAGTTGAGCAGTACTATCTAGCTTATATTCACCCTAGTCTCCACGGTATCCCTGCAGTTTGCACAGCTGGCAGAGTTGTCCTGTAACAGTGCACTCAATGTTGTTAAACGAACGTTTAACGGCCTAACCTCTAACAGGAGAAAAACAGAGTAACTACCTCACGAGGGTAAAGATAATAGACATAAACGCCTTAGAAGAGTGCCTGGATCACAGTAAGCCCAGGGAGACCGAGTTTCCATAGTAGGTGGACAGGAGACGGGCTCTCTCCGTGGCATTTCTACAGTTGCACTGGGGCCAACGCGACCTCTCCGGACCCTCCTCCCCACCAGTTAGTGATTTACAGTTGCTGCGCCTGCGCATTTCCGCCTCTACCGTTAACCAGGCTGCCGGAAGTATTTCTCTTCTTCTCATTGGCCCATATTGCGCATGCGCCTTATCAGGTTCCTCCCTCCCGCCCCCCCATTGGTGTCCAACCAATGAGCGCGAAATCGGCCAACGCGGCTGCGCGAGCGGGGCGTGCCCCGGAAGCAGTTCTTTGGCCTGTGACACGTAGCAACGGTGCCTCTTCAGGGTCCCAAGCGGAGTTCAGGGAATTGTCTGGCGCCCGCGGGAGCTCCGGCCGCCGCCTTGGCGTTTGGTGAGTGCCCCAGCTCCGTGGCTTTGCTCGGTTCTCCCCACCCCCGTGAGGCGCGGCTTGTTGCCGCCTTTCGGCACCGTCGGGTCGGGTCCTTTCCTCAAATCCTCGCTGCCTTGCCAGCCCTTGCTGTGACGCGGCCTCTGCAGCAAAGGAGTCTGCACTTTCCTGGCAGGCCCAGGCTTTATTGTGCGAGGAGGGAGCCGCGGTGTCAGGTGTAAATCCCTGCCTAGGGATGAAAAGTGGTCCTTGTTTTCCACCCAGTGGAGCCACTCCTCCCGCGACCCCGCCCCTAGCCCAGGGCTTATCAGTTCCTTGAAGTGGACGCACCTTCCCGGGCCCGGACTCAGAGACTGGACGTTTCCTTAGCCACCCCCAAGCCCCCTCTCCTCCCCACCCTCCCAATGCTGCTTCACAAAATTCCAGAAGAAATATGCGCTGCCTTTCGGAGCTGTGTGCTTGAGCAAAGTTTCAGGAACGAATTCAGTAGGATCTTGAACACATAAGCACTCTTTCCCATTTCTCTTCTGTTGCAGATCATTTGCCATGTCAGGCTTTGATAACTTAAACACGGATTTCTACCAGACAAGTTACAGCATCGATGACCAGTCACAGCAGTCCTATGATTATGGAGGAAGTGGAGGACCCTATAGCAAGTAACTTTCCAAGTTTGGCCATTTGTTTACTCGAGGTTTTCGTGAAAGCATGTGCCCAGAATGTTTGGTTCTGCCCGAAATGGAATGTGTGAACTTGCTTCTGCTGATCAGGAGTCTGATTTTTCATAATCTTCCTTCCTCAGGAGAGAACTGTGACACTGGTTTGGATTTGAAAGGGTTGCCCTATTTAGAGTTTGGTATCTTGTGCAAAATCTTCGGGTGTGACGAAGGTGGAAAAGTAGATTGTTGAAGGGCTTTCGCTATTCACGGTCTTTCTACATCATTGAAGATATGGATAGGAGTCCAGGTACTTAGAAGATAGACTACTTAGCCTATAGGACTCCTTAAAAAATAAAATCTTTTGATGGCTTTTCAAATAATTAAAATAGCCCAACTTTCAGACTTTATCAACATTAGTTGTTGAAGTGCTAGTGACACTGTTTAACAGTGTAAGCTTCCCATTATGAGTCGTCAGGTGATTTTCATTTAGCAATTGATAGACATTTTTGTTATTATACTAAAAGCTTGTCACACAAGTTGCCAGTTGCATGTTGAAGAGAGGGACTCAAAGCTTTTCAGCCCTGAACTGTTAAAAATGATTTTTTAACAATTCCTAGTATTGGTGGCAAAAATAACTGAATGTTTTCTATCAATCTCTTGGACATCATATTCTTAGTTTGTAAGGACCTTAAGGATAATCTTTCCAGCCTCCTAATCAGTGAAGGAATTTCCTATATATCAGAAAAAATTTTAAAGATGATCTGGGATTCCTTTAAGAATCTAATAAAAAACTATGGACCTATTTCAGAGAAATATATGCAAGCACTGAAATATCCACATACATGTGCATATGACTTCAGACAGTTTATGTGTCATCTGATGTTCACCTGTGAGCCATGAATTAAAAACCTCTTGGAGACTAGCCCAGAATAAGGGCAAGGGAAGATGGTGTATCCAGTCAGTCTGAGAGAAACATGTAGTGCTAGAATGTGTTTGTTTGAATTCATAAATCTGAATGAAAGTGCCCCAAATATTAAATAAACCAAGAAAGAAACAAATGCAGCTTCATAGTCTGGTCTGTTATGGATAGGTTGTACTTTTTGCAACCTGTAGATCTCTTGAATCTGCTTATTTTGATATAGTCTAAGCCTACACACAATAAAAACTTAACATAGTGAACCCATCATGAGAGTGAGCATGTAAAGAATTCTCTCTGTGAGTCACTTTTGTTTCCGTTAAATTCTCAAATTACACATCATTGAGGATTTATCTTGTTTGTTCAGTTGTACAGAATTAGAAAAACCTCGTTGTGAAATTTTTATTTATTTATTTACATATATATATATTTTTTTAAATTTTTTTTTTTTTTTTGAACTTGTTCTATGTATGAGAGGGCAAAGGAATGCAAGATTAGCCAGATTGCAGCTATAGAGCTTTGGAAAAACCTGCTCTGTATGCAAGCCTGTTTTTAGCCACATTATATGTATTGGTGTTTGGACTCAGCAGAATTATGCCATTTAGGTTGCAACCTCCTGGGTTTATCTGTCTCTGCCTTCCTTTACTGTCCTGCTCATGTTTGCATTACTTTAAGGCCAGGGTCAGCAAACTACAGCTCGAGATCCACATGAGGCTCTTTGGCCCCTTGAAGTGTGGCTCTTCCACAAAATACCACGGCTTGGGCAAGTCTATTTTGAAGAAGTGGCTTTAGGGGAAGTTTAAGTTTAAAAAAATTTGGCTCTCAAAAGAAATGTCAATCGTTGTACTGCTGATATTTGGCTCTGTTGACTAATGAGTTTGCCGACCACTGCTTTAAGGGGTAACTTATTCCACTTTCCCTCTCATTTCAGTTTTTCAGAGCAGTTTTAGATATTCTGCTGCTAACTATTCTCACAATTTCATTCCAACCAAATTATGTATCATTGTTCCAGTACTAGTAAAGAAGTTTTGTTCCAGGTGCTTACATAACCATTACTACCAGTTAATAAATATGAGTTTATAAGTGATGCTTAGGAAAATAAGAATCCTAATGTTTTATTAGTAATTGTGTTTCTGAGCTTTATTTAAAAAGAAAAACTGGCCTCTTCTACTTCTTTATGTACCTTTAAGTAAATATATACATAATGACATTTTAAATGTCCATCTCAGGTTATTGAATAATATTTTTTCTAACTTAGTAACAAAGATCTGCCGATAACATATCCTTTGATGAAAATGTAAATTTGAATAAAATATTAGTTGGATTGTCTTCAAGTTTGACTTATGTTATAGTTTTGCATTTTCCCTATGAAGTTGGCTTAATATTTTGCATAGTTTTTTATATGAATACTTTATAAATGTAATTCACATATTAATATAAAACACAAATAGAAACAAAGCCTATTTAATCTTAATCTGTTGAGTTTTATGAATGTCATTTTTGGCCCGAACTCACATTCTAGATAGGCCTCCAGGACATGTAGTAATACCATACATATTTTTTTTACGTATTGAAAGTTTCACGTTTTTATCTTTGGCTTAACTGATAATACCTTTATATACTATATATGGATTTTCATGAACTTAAATAGCCAACCCAGTATGTTAAAAGGCTTTGTCTTTGCTGTTGATTATGAGTGCTAAACTAGGTTTACTTTCTGCTGCTTCTCCTATTGTAAAAGTGTTGATCCACAAAGATCGTGTCTACCATATTATGTTTTAGATTAAAGCTAGCAGAGGCGAGTCAGGAATTTTTCTGACCAGATCCTGCCAGCAAAAAGAAATAATATTTCATGATATTGTCCTCACCTTGGATCTTGAAGAAGGAATGTTGGTGTATCTTTGAAACTATCATTTGTTTGCATTTCTCTTTCTTACATGAAATTTATTGGTTTATATCAGTGTTTTGTAGAATGGACTGCAGTCTCAACAGGTTCCTTGAGAACTTTCAGAGAGTTTTTAAGGTCAAAACTTTTTATAACAATACTAAGACATTATCTACCTTTTTATCGATAGGTGTGTTGACTTTTGCATGGATATTGCAAAAGCAGTGCTTGGTAAAACTGCTGGTACCCAAATATGAATTAGGACAAAGGCATCAAATCGTTCTAATAATCATTGTATTCTTCATTGCCACACACTTATTAAGGAGTAGGGAACCAACTTTATTTAATGACTCCCTTGATGAAGGAGTAAGAATTATAGTTTTATTATATTCTGACCTTTGAATACACATATTTTTAAAGTATTTTGTGTGATAAAACAGGAAACAGTCATAAAACACTTCTACTTCATACTGAAGTACAATGATTATATCTTGGAAAGGCCCCTGTGCAATTTTTAAAAAAAATATATATATTTTATTGATTTTTCACACAGAGGAAGAGAGAAGATAGAGACTTAGAAACATCTATGTGAGGGAAACATCGATCAGCTGCCTCCAACACACTCCCCACTGGGGATGTTCCTTCAACCAGGGTACATGCCCCTGACCGGAATCGAACCTGGGACCCCTGAGTCCTAGGCCGACGCTCTATCCACTGAGCCAAACAGGTTAGGGCAGGCACCTGTGCAATTTGAGCCTCAAGCTGAATCAGCTGCTGTTTCATGGAAACCATTTTTATTGGAAAGAACAACTGACAGACAAACTAGCTATTCAGACTCGAGTATTTTGACAGGTATTGTCTAAAAAATGAATGAAAAGAGCCTGTTACTTCAAGGAAAAAATTGACAGGAAAAAATTGGTCAATGATCAAATTAATGTTTTCAGGCAAAAAATGAAGATTTTGAAAAACTTGTATGCATCACCATGAATTTGTCAGCTTCCCAATAATTAACTATTTTTTCTGATGAGAGTAGTGGTGACATTAACAAATGTGATTTTTATATTTATATTAGACTAGAGGCCCAGTGCACCCCTCTGCCTGCCTGCCTGCCTGATTGCCCCTAACCACTTGTCTGCCTGCCTAAATTTGTGCACGGGTGGTGTCCGGCCAGCCCTCTCCCATTGGGGCTAGTAGGGCATAATCTTAGACATAATTATATTTATATACAGACAGTCCTGTGGTTACTTTGGACTCGTTTTTTGATTACTTTCCCATTTATTTATTTTTTAAAAATGTTCTGTCATTTCAATGTATATACATATGTGCTTTATGCTCTTTATTATTTATTTACCACAAGTAAAGGTAAGGAATTGTTATCTTTTAAAATTTTTTTAATGTTTCACTTCATTACTGCTGTGTATGTGCTCCATGTGAGTGACGTAGGTGCTTATGTAGATGGGTTCCTACTTACGGCGAAAATCGTGTTACATTGCACAGTAGGAATGGATCTGCAACAACCCGAGGACATATGCATAACAAAATAGAAAAGATTTTTAAGTTTTTATTTGTGGATTTCCTACTGTTTAGAAGTTAGTTTGTAAAATGCTTAAGTGCTGGGTAAGGGAGTGTTGGCATCATCAGGAACCTTCTCTATAAAACATAGTTTATTATTGGTGATCAGTTTGATCTTAATAATTATTTCAACCTTCATTTGTAAAAACTGGCAAGGTAGATGTCCTATGAATTGCATAGCGAAGAGTCTCTAGCTGTCAGGGATATTAGCTGTTAGGAGTGACATAATTTTGAGAAATGTAACTTACTTTGATTTACAGGCAGTATGCTGGCTATGACTATTCGCAACAAGGTCGCTATGTCCCTCCAGAAATGATACAGCCACAACAGCCATACACCGGGCAGATTTTCCAGCCAACTCAGACATTTTCTCCAACTACACCTCAGCCATTCTATGGAAACAGCTTTGAGGATGAGCCACCTTTATTGGAAGGTTAGATTGGTTGCAACTCTTGATGGTATTTTATAGTATTCAGCTGGTTATTAAAATAAATCTTAGTTTAGAGTAGTTGTCTTTTCTTTTAAAAGAATAATGTTTCACAAAAAGGTTTCTGCTAAGTGATCCATTTTGAACAGATTACGTATGAAACCTCATTGAGTCAGAAGGGACCAGATTTTTAATCTTTATAAAGTGATAATAAAGTATGTCAGTATATTAGCATCGACTTTCACTTGATTAAATTCTATCTGTGGAAGATTTTAAAGGAAATGGCATGGTATTGATTATTCTACATGAAACTAAGCTGGCAGAACTAGTAACATCACTGAAAAGTATGGTGGTTTTCAAATTGTATTCCAAAACCCATAAAGCAGTAATTCTGGACATTTTCTTTGGGGACAGGGGGTATTCAATACCCTTTGAAAATATAATGAAAGCTTTGAATACACTTGCCAGAAAAATGAACAAATAAAGACATAGTTTTGTGTACAATTTCATGGGGATTTCAGGTATTCCTGAGACCCCAGATAAAAGATACCTTGCTATTAAACTTGTCCATATAATTTTTGCTATGCAGTCATAGCTGAGAGTGTCTGTTTCATCATATTCATATCCTTTTCCAGTACAAAACCAGAAATTGGTTATTTGTGGGATAAGCACCTACTCAGTAAGGACTTGTTTTGAGGACTTACCCAAATAGCAGTGTCGGTATTGCTTGATCCTCTTTTAATGCTGGGTATTTCATTTTGTCTCCTAAGATAGATTCTGGTAAACTAATGTTATATCTCAAATCCTAATTGATTTCCTTGTTTTCTTTTCTTTTAGAATTAGGTATCAATTTTGACCACATCTGGCAAAAAACGTTAACAGTGTTGCATCCATTAAAAGTAGCAGATGGCAGCATCATGAATGAGACTGATTTGGCAGGACCTATGGTTTTTTGCCTTGCCTTTGGAGCCACATTATTACTGGTAAGATTTTAATTTCAGCTCTCAGTGTGAGATTAAAGAACTCTCTAAATGTTCTGCCAAGACTGCTTATACATCAAATTTTTGTTGTGTTCTGACTTGTTTGAATTGATACCTATTCATCATATCTCCATGGATAATAAATATAGCATATTGAGAAATCATTTCTTATTCCAATAAGTGATCCAATTGTTAGGGGAAAACAAAACAAAAATAAATAAATAATGTGTGGTTTTGTTCCTTCAAAAGAATCCCTTCTTTTCAGACATTGATTAAAAAAAATTTTTAGCCTATTGCTCTTTTATTTATTTCCAGACTTTGGATAGTATTTCCTTTGGATACTAGCGGTTATTTTTCTATATATTATTTTGACTTTTAATGAATGGAAACATTAAAGAACAAGTTTTAGTCCCTACTTCCCACCTCCCTAAAAATGTTAAAACATATTGAAAATGAAAAGTTGTAAAGGTAATTATTAATATTTGTTTTATATTTCAAATGTGTCTGAATTAGGAGAGATAAATGATGTAATGAATAGTTGTTTTTAGTCAGAGCAACTGGGCATGAACTCAATACTCCTACTCTGTCCTTGAGTTCTGATAGATAATTCTGTGCTTTCCACCTAATAAGATTGTGAGAACATATTTAAAATTTTAAAACACTGTGCAAGTATGAGGGTTTATTATTACGATATGAACAGATTTGTCAATGAACTCAGCTGAGCCCTTTCAGACTTCTACATGTTTAATCAAGTATTTACAAATAAATATTTAGTCTAACAAAAATCCCAAGGATTTTTCCATCTAGCATAATTTATAGAGGTATTCTTGCAATTGAATTTTATATGTTAAGAATCTTTAAAAACCTGGAACTTTTGAAGGCTTCTTTGAAGACTGGTTTTAATGATAAAACCAGTCTTTTTAATGACTTGGATACAATGATACAATGTTTGTTCACACAGCTTGACTAATGGTACTGTAACTGCAATTTACCTAGCCATTAATGTCTTGATTTTTGTGTTTGTTTGTTATTTTTGATCAAAGGACTTAAAAATCAACAATTTAGGAAAAGAAAGAAAACAGTGCCTCTATTCTATTTCTCCTGCCTAGTTATTCAGTTTACTTTTCTTCTCCCTTCCTATAGAACCTTGGCTTCCTGCTTTAACTCTGGCTCTCATCTCCTAGCTCCTCTAACACATATAAAAAGAATGATGAAATTATTTCCACTGTTAAAAAGATTATTGCTGCATCTGCCAATGAGAATAAATTGCTTTGGAGCAGTTTTGGTGGAATTAGTTGTGTGTGTGTGTGTGTGTGTGTTTTGTTTTGTTTGTGTGTGTGTGTGTGTTAATGATATTAGCTTTCCATTTGTCTCTAGTCTCTGCTTAAAATCAGATATCTTTTTAGAAATGTATTATTATACCATAATTTTGTATCTTTTTGTTGAATTCCATGCCAAGCTCAAATACTAACTGAAAAAATGAAAAACCAATATTGGGAGGTCGATAGTTAAACTTCGTGTGTGTGTGTGTGTGTGTGTGTGTGTGTGTGTGTGTTTTAATTTGTTTGCTTGTTTTTCAGGAGGAGGGGAAGAGAGAAAGAAAAAGAAAGAGAAATATCAATGTCAGAGAGAAACATTGATCAATTGCCTCCTATACTCACCCTGACCAGAAACCAACCCCATAACCTGGGCACATGTCCAGACCAGGAATCAGATGTAAAAGCTAATCTGTTCTGTGTTTTATTTATTTGCATAAAGAGTTAAATACCTCTTTAGATTTTGATGCTCATAAATTGTGAAATGAGGCCAAAAGTTATTTTATTTATTTGTTTGTTTATTTTTGCCCTTTGACCTGTAATCTTTTCTTTATCCTTAGGCTGGCAAAATCCAGTTTGGCTATGTATATGGGATCAGTGCAATTGGATGTCTAGGAATGTTTTGTTTATTAAACTTAATGAGTATGACGGGTGTTTCATTTGGTTGTGTGGCAAGTGTCCTTGGATATTGTCTTCTTCCCATGATCCTACTTTCCAGCTTTGCAGTGATATTTTCTTTGCAGTAAGTATGATCTTTATTTTTGGTGTTGATTTACCAATTCTGTGTGATAGGATTTACTTCACTATCCATTTGAGATAAATCACTGACTCTGTGACTGAGGACTGCTACATGCTTTTTTAATTGATGAAGAAACTGAGAATACATTTTAAAACCTTTTATACCATCTCTGCTTTGACCTGTAATAAAAAATTTCACTAATTTTTTGTTCAATTACCAGTATCTGTAAATAAACAGTAGTAATTATGAAGGTAAATACTAAATTTAGCATGGAAAAGGTAAATTTGTTAAAAATTATATTTATTTCCTGATATCTTTAGACTATATCTGATTTTTTGAAGATGTTGGGCATATGCTAAGTGAACATATACTCTTTTTGGCAGTGTTTTAACTGAAGGCTATTTTTTAAGCACAAGGCTATTATTAGTCTACCAGAGGCCCAGAGCACGAATTCATGCATGGGTGGGGTCCCTTGGCCTGGCCGGTGATCAGGGCTATCACCCAGTCCTGATCGGCCCACTGGCCAGGGGGAAGTACCATGGGAAGTTGGCCAGCCACAGGATGTTGGCTGTGGGAGTGCACTGACCACCAGAGGGCAGCTCCTGCATTGAGCATCTGCCCCCGGGTGGTTAGTGCACTTCATAGCTAGCAGCTGGTCATCCCATCATCCAGTAGTAAAGGTTGCTTAGGCTTTTATATATATAAATCATATTCTCAAATGTAATTGTAAGCAGCTTTAAATTTTTGTAATTTTTAGATAATACTTTAGGGAAGGTTAAAAAGTAAGGTATGGAAGTTCCTCCTCGTGGCCAGTGGGCAGGTGAATCAACAGTTCAAGCTCCTCCTTGAGGCTGGTGTTGAACAGGACTAGTGAGCAAGCTTTGATTCACTTAGTAAGTTACAATGGGGCTTTAAGAGGGGAGGGACTCTGTGGGAGATAAGAGACTACATGCGTATAAGTACAACCAATGGACACAAAACTGTGGGGAGGGTAGGTAAGTATGGGAGGGGCGGGCAATGTAAAATATATACACAGATAATAATTTAATAAAATAAATAAAAATAAATAAATAATTAAAAAAAAAAAAGAAGAGCATCTACCAACTAGTTGATACCAGAGATATGGCAAGATGACGGCTTTACAGTATTCCTGCTTTGGGTAAAAACACTTCCAAATTTTCAGTATAGACATTGCTTCATTGTTCTCACTTGTTAAAATGGATATATTTATATTTGAACTCTACAGAAGATATTTTCTAGTTAAAACTGTGTTTTCCAACGAGGGATTATTTTGCTTCCAAGGGACATTTGGCAATACATGGGGACAATTTTGGTCATAACTCTTGGGGGCAAGGGATGCTATTGAACATTCTCACAATGCACAGAACAGTCCCTACAAAAAAAGTATATCTAGCCCAGTGTCAATTGTGCCAAGATTGAAAACCCTGTGCTGAAAGGTGCAAAATGTATTCATAAATGAACTTTTTATCACATTATCAATTTATCCTCATTGAATTCACTGCAAAGTACATTTGAACATTTGGGGAAGGGAGAAATCTTGATTATTTCTACAGATGTCTACATGTGGATTTAAAATGCTTTTTTAAAGACTTGCTTATTATATTCTTACATAACTAATCTCATCTACTGTCTTTTTTTGGTTACAGAGGAATGGTAGGAATCATTCTCACTGCTGGAATTATTGGATGGTGTAGTTTTTCTGCTTCCAAAATTTTTATTTCTGCATTAGCCATGGAAGGACAGCAACTTCTAGTAGCATATCCCTGTGCTTTGTTATATGGAGTCTTTGCCCTAATTTCTGTCTTTTGAACTGAATTTATCTGGAATGTGGACATCATTGGGCCAAATACACAAAAAGGACTTTGAACTCTTAAATCGGACCAGCAAACTGCTACAGTGAAACTCTCACGCAGGTCTAACATTTAACTATCGGAACCGTGGATGTAAACATGGATCTTCTGTCATTTTTATAGAACTTGGGAAAACCAGACTGGATTTACCTGCAGAGTGATTAGCTTTAAATGTTTGTGCTTAAGAAATAAGAAGTGCTATTTCTTCCCTGTTCCTGCAGCCTTTGAAAACAACATTTTTCCTTAAATTATATTATGGTGTTTTTGATAGAATTTTTATCAACTGTGGGAAACTAACCACAGAGCTGATAATCTTTTTTTAAAAACAACCCAGTCATAGTAAAGAAGATACAAGACTTACTGCGAAATATTTTTCCAAGTAATTAGGAAAAAAAAATTTGTATTCTCAAGTTGGATGCAAGCAAAAAAGTAATTGCAATATAGAGTTTATGAGTTTGCACTTCAAAAAAATTTGACATTCCTTTAAATTATCTCCTGGAAGTTTTGCTAAAATTCAATGATATGGAAGTTCAGTCTGCCTTATTATAGACATGAAATGTAACCACTTGTTTAGTTATTAGCATTAACTAGACCATAGTGACGTAGACTGGGCCACATTAATGCTTATAGTTGGATCTCCATGTTTCCCAGGAAAAAGAAAATCGCTAACCTTTTTTGAAAAAAGATATTTTATTTAAAATCTCACAGTTTCAGTATTGAAGTTATCAATGTAAAGTACATTTGATGCTTATTAAAATTTTCCCAATGAATTTTAACTGTGTTGTCAAATTTACTTTTACTAAACTGTTTTCATTTTCTTTAAGTAGGGTCTGATTTTCATGTTTAGTCCCAATTTATCCTAAGTTTTAAAAATAGAAGTCATCTAGTACATGATTAGAAAAAAAGATTTAATGAAAAGCAATTTACTTGGAGTTACAACATTTCTTTGTATTAAACTTAAACATGGTTAATATTGTCATGCTCTCTTGCCAAATAATCTCTAAGAAATACTAAATCTTGTATATTGATTATAGGCTTTTTCTGAAGAAACTACATTAGTAGTTCAGTTATAGTTATGAGAAATATGCTAGATGGAGAGGAAAATGTTGCCTTTTTAAAAAGAGATTTTCAGACTAAATAAAAAGAAATTCCAGGCTGACATAGTCATGGTTCTTTTTTAGAGCTGGCTTTTAGTAATAAAAGGTGGTTAAGATAATAAAACATTTCTTACAAGAAGATAATGATTTTTTATCTTTGGAGTCATATAAATATGTTTTCTTCATTAAACTTAATGACCATGAGAAAATTGTTTCAGAATAATTTTTTTTTTTTTTTTTTTTTTTTTAGACAGGAATGGTGGTGGGGGAGAGAAATATTGATCAGTTGCCTCCCACCAGGAATCAAACACAATCTTTTGGTGTACAGGACAGTACTCCAACCAACTGAGTAACACCAGCCAGGGCTAGAATATTATTTTCTACTGGATAGATGCTTGGTGCACAGGTTCATGTGCTAGTGGAATCCCTCGGCCTGGCCTGTGGGGATCAGTGGACTTCCCGTGCCGCTGTAGCCTGGCCTTACCCACAGCCTGTTGGGCTCCAGCCCGCAGTCCCATCAGTCAATCCTGCATCGCATGAAATAAAGTAATACATGAAGTGCCAGGCGGCCAGGGAGAAACCCAAGCCCAGGCCAGGTGCTATGCCACTCCCGCTCATCCTGGCCCTGCTGTGCCTGCCACTACCTTTGCTGCTGCGCATGCCCATCCTAGGGTGATACACGGGGAGCACATACAGATTGGCGCCCAATCAGTCCAGATGCCAGTCTTGATCCTGGTCCCAGTCCAGAGAAGAGAGGGGCACACGGGGAGTGTCCCTGGGAGAGGCTCAAATCACCACAACTGTGCTCGCCAGTTATGAGCCCAGTTCTGGTGCCTGTTGGTCAGCTGAGCTGCGCTCCCACTGTGGGAGCGCACTGACCACCAGGGGGCGTCTCCTCTCTGGTGGTCAGTGTGCATCATAGCTACTGGTCCACTGGTTGCTTAAGCTTTAATATATATATAGATTGTAATCCTTGCATGGTATCTTTTTTGCCTTTTTCAGTTATGAGTTTTATAAATATAATTCTTATTAAGGCAAATGTAATGATCACCTTATGTTAATACTATGTAGTTCTTCCTAATGAACAGGGTAGATGATGCTATGCAAATAAAATTCTCTCACTGTTGGTTAACGTAAGACCACAAGTCTTCAGCCAGATTCCCAAGTGGATCAAATTGTGTTTTCCTTTTTTGTCTGTCGGTTATTTGTGTTTTGCCTCTCTGACCCTTTCCCCCGCAACAAAGTAATTTTTAGTTTAGTTTTTTGTTTTGGGTTGTCTTTTATTTGACTCAAAACTGATTAGGTGCAAAACTATTTTATATTTAACTTGTTATTCTTTTTTTTTTTTTTTTTTTTTTTTTTTTTTTTTTTTTAATTTCAACTTCTTTATTGAATAATTTTTTTTTATTTTTTTTTTTATTTATTTATTTTTTTTATTTTACATATTTTATTGATTTTTTTTTGCCCCCCTCCTTCCCTCCCATGTATCCCCTCCCTCCCCAGAGTTTTATGTCCATTGGTTGTACTTATATGCAGGTATACAAGTCCTTGGGTTGATTTATTGTCTCCCCCAGACCCTCCTCCCCTCCCCGTTGTAATTTGACAATCTGCTTGTTGCTTTACTGTCTCTATATCTATCTTTTGGTTCATCAGTTTATAATGATCTTTATTATCCACAAATGAGTGGGGTCATGTGGTGTTTCTCTTTCATTGATTGGCTTATTTCACTCAGCATGATGTTCTCCAATTCCATCCAGGTTGCTGCAAATGATGAGAATTCCTTCTTTTTTATGGCAGCATAGTATTCCATTGTGTAGATGTACCAAAGTTTTTGGATCCAATCATCAGCTGACGGGCACCTCGGCTGTTTCCAGATTCTGGCTATTGTAGATTGTGCTGCTATGAACATAGGGGTGCATATATCCTTTCTGATTGGTGTTTCTAGTTTCTTGGGATATATTCCAAGAAGTGGGATTACTGGGTCAAATGGGAGTTCCATTCTCAGTTTTTTGAGGAAACTCCACACTGTTCTCCACAGTGGTTGCACCAGTCTGCATTCCCACCAGCAGTGCACGAGGGTTCCTTTTTCTCCGCAACCTCGCCAACACTTGTCGTTTGTTGATTTGTTGATGTTGGCCATTCTGACAGGTGTGAGATGGTACCGCATTGTTGTTTTGATTTGCATCTCTCGGATAATTAGTGACTTTGAGCATGTTTTCATGTGCCTTTTGGCCTTCTTTCTGTCTTCTTTTGTAAATATTCTATTTAGGTCCATTGCCCATTTTTTAATTGGATCATTCATCTTCCTTTTATTTAGTTGTATCAGCTGTCTGTAGATGTTGGAGATTAAACCTTTATCCGTGGTATTATTTGCAAATATATTCTCCCATACCGTGGGCTTTCTTGTTGTTTTGTTGATGGTTTCTTTTGCTGTAAAAAAACTTTTTATTTTGATGTAGTCCCATTTGTTTATTTTCTCTTTAGCTTCCATTGCCCTAGGGGCAGTATCAGTGAAGAAGTTCTTTTGGCATACGTCTGAGATTTTGCTGCCTGCGGATGCTTCTAGTATTTTTATGGTTTCCCGTCTGATGTTTAAGTCCTGTATCCATTTTGAGTTTATTTTTGTGTATGGTGTAAGTTGGTGATCTAGTTTCATTCTTTTGCATGTGTCTACCCAATTTTCCCAACACCATTTATTGAAGAAACTGTCTTGACTCCATTGTATATTCGTGCCTCCTTTGTCAAATATTAATTGAGCATAGTGATTTGGGTTGATATCTGGGTTCTCGATTCTATTCCATTGATCTATATGTCTGTTCTTGTGCCAGTACCAGGCTGTTTTGAGAACAGTGGCTTTGTAATACAGTTTGAAGTCTGGTATTGAGATCCCTCCTACTTTACCCTTCTTTCTCAGGATTGCTGTGGCTATTCGGGGTCTTTTATTGTTCCAAATGAACTTTTGGAGAGTTCTTTCTAGGTCGGTGAAATATGCCGTTGGTATTTTAATGGGGAGTGCATTGAACCTATAGATTGCTTTAGGAAGTATGGACATTTTGATGATGTTGATTCTACCGATCCATGAACATGGTATATTCTTCCATCTCTTTACATCTTCCTCTATCTCTTTTTTCAGTGTCATGTAGTTTTCTGCATATAGGTCCTTTACTTCCTTAGTTAAATTTATTCCTAGGTACCTTAATTTTTTTGGTGCGATGGTAAATGGAATTGCTTTTTTAATCTCTATTTCTATAGTTTCGCTGTTGGTGTATAGAAATGCCGTGGATTTCTTGGCATTAATTTTGTATCCTGCTACATTGCCAAATTCATTTATTAAGTCAATTAGTTTTTTAATGGAGTCTTTTGGGTTTTTTATGTACAGTATCATGTCATCTGCAAATAAGGATAACTTTACTTCTTCTTTTCCAATTTGGATGCCTTTTATTTCCTCCTCTTGTCTAATTGCAATGGCTAGTACTTCCAGTACTATGTCAAACAGGAGTGGCGAGAGTGGGCATCCCTGTCTTGTTCCTGTTCTTAGAGGGAATGGTTTTAGTTTTTGCCCATTGAGTATAATGTTGGCTGTGGGTTTATCATATATAGCTTTTATTATGTTGAGGTATGATCCTTGTACTCCCACCTTGTTAAGAGTTTTTATCAGGAAAGGGTGTTGGATTTTATCAAATGCTTTTTCTGCATCAATTGATATGACTATATGATTTTTATCTTTCAGTTTGTTTATGTGATGTATCACGTTTATTGATTTGCGGATATTGTACCATCCTTGCATTCCTGGAATAAATCCTACTTGGTCATGGTGTATGATCTTTGTGATGTTCATCTGGAGTCTATTTGCTAGAATTTT